AGCCTCTCCTGTTAGTGCTCACACCCACTCGTGCTGTGCTCCTAACGATGAAACCTCCCTCCTCTGACCTGAGAGGTTGCTGGAGCGGAGGGCGCTGTCCGAATACATGTTCCCTTTTCCCTCTCTGATCTATCAGCCATTGAGAAATGCCTAGGGTCATTTTCTACCAATCCTACTGCTTATACCAAAGAATTCCGCTACCTCTCCCAGGCTTACGACCTCACCTGGCATGATACCTATGTAATTCTGTCCTCCACCCTCACTCCAGATAAGCATGACCGCATATTTACGGCGGCCTGGGCGCACGCTGATCAGGTACATCTCACCAACAACCAGATGCCAGCAGGTGGGGCGGCGGTCCCTGAGGCCGACCCTAATTGGAATTATCAAACCGGTCAAGATGGCAGCTGCCGCTGGGACCAAATGCTACAGTGCCTCCTAGTGGGCATGCAAAGCACAGCCCAAAAGGTAGTTAATTATGATAAGTTAAGGGAAATAACTCACGGTCCTACTGAAAACCCAGCCACCTTCCTGGACCAATTAACTAATGGTATGATCCTTCATACCTGGCTGGACCCGGCTTCTTTACTGGGGGCTATAGTTCTAGCCACCCGTTTCATCTCTCAGTCAGCGGCTGACATTAGAAAGAAACTTAAAAAGGCTGAGGAGGGTCCCCAAACTCCCATACGAGACCTGGTAAACATGGCATTTAAAGTTTTTAATGCCCAAGAGGAAAAGGCTGAGGCCACCCACCAGGCCTGTCTACAGCAAAAGGTAAGCCTCCAAACCCAAGCTCTTGTGGCAGCCCTGAGGCTGGCAGCCCACCAGGCGCCTGGTGGACGGGGTCCATTGAAACCTGCCAAGAACTCCAGAGGCATTCCACCTGGGCCCTGTTTCAAGTGTGGTCAGGAGGGACACTGGTCAGTGTTCATGTCCCCGACCACCTACCAAGCCTTGCCCGAACTCCAAGCAGCTTGGACACTGGCGCAGTGATTGCCCGTCCCAGACTACAGGCCCACCCCCAACACCTCTATGTGGAGGGCAGGCCAGTCCGCAGGAAGCAATCCCATCGCTTGAACTTCTCGTCCTTCTGGATGACTGACGCAGCCCAGACTCGAAGACCCCCATCACCCTTGCCGAGCCCAGGGTAATGCTGCAGGTAGTGGGTAAGTCTATTTCCTTCTTAGTGGACACGAGGGCTACCTATTCTGTATTGCCTTCCTACTCAGGACCTAGCATACCTTCCCAGGTTTCAGTCATGGGAATTGACGGCAAGCCTTCCTGTCCTTATCAAACCCATCCTTTAGCCTGTGTCCTCGAGGGACACCGCTTTTTCCACTCTTTTTTAATTATAGCCTCATGCCCAGTCCCCCTTTTAGGACAAGACATTCTCCAGACTGTGGGGGCCACTCTCCAACTCACTGGCCCCCCACGCTCAAGCCCATCATCTGCTCATCTCCTACTGCCACTCCTAACTGATGCCACATTGTGCCCTAACTCCTCGCCTCAACCCCCTCTCCCTCCTGACGTAGTCAGTCCCCTGGTATGGGATACCTCCAAGCCTGTAGTAGCCAAACATCATACTCCGGTTAAGATACTTCTCAAAAATCCTACCCACTTTCCTTCACGTCCTCAGTTCCCCATCTCGAAAACCCACTGTCAAGGCCTGAAGCCTATCATCACCTGCCTGCTAGCTCAGGGACTACTTACTCCCACCAGTTCCCCTTGTAACAATCCTATCTTGCCGGTCCGAAAGCCGTCTGGCAACTACCGCCTGGTTCAGGACCTGCGCCTTATGAAAAAGGTGGTGGTACCCCTCCACCCTGTAGTCCCCAACCCGTATACACCCTAATATCAAACATTCCCTCCACTACCTCTCATTTTAAAGTTCTTGACCTCAAGGACGCCTTCTTTACCATTCCCCTTCACCCTGAGTCCTCCTTTCTCTTTGCCTTCACCTGGACTGATCCTGACACCAACCTGTCACAACAGCTTACCTGGACGGTCCTGCCTCAGGGATTCCGAGACAGCCCTCACATTTTTGGACAAGCCTTGGCAGCCAACCTTGGCTCCTGCCCCCTTCAACCCAGTCGCCTTCTCCAGTACGTGGACGACCTGTTACTTTATAGCCCCTCCCTCTCCCTATCCCAACAGCATACTGCCACTCTCCTTTAACTTCCTTGGATCTCAGGGATACCAAGTATCTCCCTCCAAAGCATGATTATCAGTCACCTCGGTGGTTTATTTGGGCATTTGCCTCACCCCCAAAACTAAAAGCCTAACAACAGATTGTCGGAAGGCACTTCTTTCACTGCAGCCCCCAGAGACTACCGACCAGATTCTTTCCTTTTTAGGATTTGTAGGATTCTTCCACCACTGGATACCTAACTTTGCCTCTCTAGCTAAACCTCTGTACATGGCAGCTAAGGACACCCCCACAGGACCCCTCTCCCATCCTGAGGTTGTAAAACAGGCTTTTAAAACCCTCCAAACTGCTCTGTTCGCCACACCCCCACTTCATCTGCCGGACCTCAATCGCCCCTTTTATCTGTTCACTGATGAGAAACAGGGCGTTGCTGTCGGGGTTCTAGCCCAACCCCTGGGTCCTGTGTTCCACCCTGTAGCCTACTTATCGAAGCAACTTGACCGAATGGTCAGGGGGTGGCAGCCTTGCCTGCGGACCCTGGGAGCAACAATAGAACTTACCAAGGAATCACTAAAACTTACCCTGAGCCAACCCATCTCAGTGTTCTCTTCTCACCGGCTTACCGACCTCCTCTCCCACAAATCCCTCGCTCGCCTAGGGCCCTCTCGTCTACAGGAGTTCTACCTGCTCTTCATTGAGAATCCTCAGTCAGCCTTCACCCCACTTCCCCACTCAACCCGGCTACCCTGCTTCCTCTTCCATCCCTTCCCCCTTCCCCAGTGCGCTCCTGCCCTGAACTAATGGATGCACTTGCCAAACCTTGGGAGGGCCTATCCAACCTTCCCCTGCCTAACCCAGACCTTACTTTCTATGTGGATGGAAGTTCAGTAATAACAGCCGATGGGAGGCGAAAGGCATCCTATGCGGTAGTCACAGATTCAGCCACCTTCGAGGCATGTCGCCTCCCTGACGGAACCACATCACAAAAGGCGGAGCTCATTGCCCTACCCCCAGCTCTCACACTAGCACAGGGAAAGCAAGCAAATATCTATACTGACTCAAAATATGCTTTTCTTATTACCCATTAGCACTCTGCCCTCTGGAGAGAGGGGGGATTCCTTACCACAAAAGGGTCCCCATAATCAATGCTACACAGATCTCCAACATTTTACAGGCCTTATCATTGCCCAGGGAAGTTGTAGTCATACACTGCCGAGGACACCAGGCCCAGCATGATGCCACCTCCCAGGGCAATGTGTGGGCAGATACAGCAGCAAGATCTTTAACTAATGCCAAGTTAACCCCTACCCCTGTTCTCTTCCTTCCCACAACCACACAGCCTGTATACTCAGCATCAAAAAACAGGCCCTTATACCAAAAGGAAGAACAGAATCTAATCAGGGATGGATCTTCCTAAATAATAGAATTGCCCTTCCCCAGGAACAGGCCCCTAAAATTATTGCTGAAATCCACCAATCCTTACATATAGGGCCTAAGGCGTTACACCACTTTGTACAGCCCCTCTTTTTCTCGCCAGGTCTGCAACAAACAACTCAGCAGGTACACAAGGCATGCATTACTTGCTCTAAGGTCTCACCTCAGGGAGGCTTAAGGCCACAGTTTTCTACTCACCAAATGCGTGGCAACCTACTGGCCCAAGACCGGCAAATTGACTTCATTCATATGCCCACTCACAAAAAGATCTGCTATATCCTAACTTTTGTAGACACCTTTTTGGGTTGGCTTGAAGCCTTCCCCACCTCCCGGGAGACAGCAGACACGGTGGCCTCCCACCTTACTGAAGAAATCATCCCTCGCTTCGGCCTACCTGTCACCATCTAGTCGGACAATGGTCCAGCATTTACAGCCCAAGTAGTCCAGCTAGTCGCCAAGTCCCTCAACATCTCCTGGAAACTGCACATCACTTACCATCCTCAGTCATCGGGTAAAGTTGAACGAGTTCACGGCATCCTCAAAGACCATTTGGCCAAACTTGCTATTGAGGTAAAACTCTCTTGGCCCACACTCCTACCTCTTGCCCTGGCCCAAGTCTGGGCCACCCCACGGGGACCAACGGGCCTTAGCCCCTTCGAATTGCTATACGGCTGGCATCTCCTGGTTTCTCACAACCTTCCTGTAAACCCCTCTCCACTGGCTTCCTACCTTCCCTTCCTCTCCCTCCTCCACCACCTGTTAAGGGAACATGCAGACCACTCCCACCCTGTTGTTCCAGGACCAGAGGACTCCCACCCAGCGGTGCCTCTCCAACCGGGCGACAGCGTTCTCCTCCGAGAACTCAAACCAGGATCCACACAACCCAGGTGGTTGGGATCCCACATTGTCATCCTAACCACCCCCACAACAGACAAACTCCTGGGTCACACTCCGTGGTACCATATGTCCTGCCTCAAACTGGCCACCCAAAATGATCAGTGGAAATCTGAACCCCTGGGCCCCACTTGCCTCTGCCTCACCCGTGGCCCCGACCCGTCGCCGCTAACCCTTCAGAGCCTCCTCCTGACAGTCCTTCTGGTATCTCCTCTTGAGGGCAAATCATATGTTTGGCGCTTCTACATCCAGGAATCCTGGACTGAGGGCCCCATGACCAGGACCCATTAATCTTGCACAGGCAAACTGCCAAACAGGCAGCTGTTAGTCTACTGTCTCCATCCTCATCCCACACGGTAAAAGCACCATACTTGGTCGCAATCATGGGTTTCACTTTCGGCACGGGCTGTGTTTTCTATATGACCAAAATAAGGACTACTGTCATTGGTGGAACACCACCTACACGGGGTACCCATACATCTCTTGTGTTATTCACAAGCCACATCCTCCAAGCTGTCCCAACTGCATGCTCACTCGCTTCAGCAATGGTTCCTTAGCCCTCAACATCCGCGACCCCTGGCACAGCCGTTGGGATGCAGGAGTGTCCGGTAAAGCCTATGAAGATTATACCTGGAGCCACCCTCAGAGAACATGGCTAACATTCCGGTCCTATACCCGCATCGTCTCTGAAGCAATAGAACAGCTCAGTTCTGTAAGCCATACAACCCTGCAAAATGAAGCCACCCTAAATAACCAATTCAAACCCTCAGGTAGCACCTCTCAACCATTCTCTTGGTTGACTCTAGTACAGCTGGGATCCAACATGTTAAATTTAACTAAAGCCATGAATATCACCAACTGCTTTTTATGTGCCTCTCTCAGCAACCCCCCCTTAGCTGAAGTTCCCCTCAGGTCGTGGTTCAATCTGTCACAATCATCTATGGGACCCGGCAACATCTTAATGGATATCCCCTTGTTCCAAGTACACCCGCAAAATTTCTCTGTCTGCTATGAGACAGCCAGCAGCTCCAGACCCAGCTGTAACACCACAGTAAAGGTAAAATCCTCCCTCTACGTGCTACCAGGAGAATATTTCTGGTGTAATGGAACCTTAACTAAAGTTATTAATGCCTCCTTCCTTTTCCCTTGTATACCCGTCACCTTGGTCCCTCAGTTAGAGGTATACAAACAGGCCGAACGTCTATCCCTCCTTCCATCCTCCCCTAATTACCAACACAGACAAGCAGTCTTCCTCTCAATGGTCGTTGGTCTCTCTCTAGCATCCTCTCTGGTGGCGGCCAGGCTGGGTAGCAGCACCCTAGGCTACAGTGACACCTCAGCCACTCAACTAGAGGACAAGCTTCAGGTGGCTATCAAAGTGTCGGCCAACTCGCTCAAGCGACAAATCATGTCACTGGCCCAGGTAACTCTCCAGAACCAAAGGGTCCTTGACCTGCTGACAGCAGAAAAGGGAGGTACCTGTCTGTTTCTTCAGGAGCAATGCTGCTATTACATCAATGAAACAGGCCTTGTGGAAGAAAATGTCAACACTCTCTATTGCCTCCAAAGCATTGGCAACAAAAGCCAAAATAGACAAATGGGACCTAATCAAACTCCACAGCTTCTGCATGGCCAAAGAAACAGTCATTAGTGTGAATCGGCAACCAACAGAATGGGAAAAATTTTTGTAGTTTACCCATCTGATAAAGGGCTGATATCCAGAATTTACAAAGAAGTAAAACAGATTTACAAGAAAAAAACAAGGCCATTCAAAAGTGGGCAAAGGATATGAACAGATACTTTACAAAAGAAGACATACATGAGGCCAACAACATATGAAAAAATGCTCAAAATCACTGATGATCAGAGAAATGCAAATCAAAACTACATTGAGATACCATCTCATGCCAGTTAGAATGGAGATCATTAAAAAATCTGGAGACAACAGATGCTGGAGAGGATGTGGAGAAATAGGAACACTTTCACACTGTTGATGGGAGTGTAAATTAGTGCATTCATTGTGGAAGACAGTGTGGCGATTACTCACGGACATAGAAATTCCATTTGACCCAGCAACCCCATTACTGGGTATATATCCAAAGGATTAGAAATCGTTCTACTATAAGGACACGTGCACACGAATGTTCATTGCAGCACTGTTTACAATAGCAAGGACCTGGAACTAACCCAAATGTCCATCGATGATAGACTGGACAGGGAAAATGTGGCACATATACACCATGGAATATTATGCAGTCATCAAAAACGATGAGTTTGTGTCCTTTGTAGGGACATGGATGAACCTGGAAACCATCATTCTCAGCAAACTGACACAAGAGCGGAAGATCAAAGAACAGAGAACCTATGTTCTCACTCACAGGCAGGTGTTGAACAATGAGAACACATGGACACAGGGAGGGGAGCACCACACACTGGGGTCTTTTGGGGGGGGAGGGACAGTGCAGGGTGGGGAGGTGGGGAGAGAGAGCATGGGGAGAAATGCCAAATATGGGTGATGGGGAGGAAGGCAGCAAATCACGCTGTCATGTGTGTACCTATGCAACAATCTTGCATGTCCTTCACATGTACCCCAAAACCTAAAATGCAATAAATTAAAAAAAAAAAAGAAAGAAAGAAACCTAAAATGCAATTTAAAAAAAAAAAAGAAGAATCTCAAGAGCAGCAGAAGAAAGAAGTCCCAAACAGAAAACCTGAAAGCGGTATTGAAGTAAGCGGTAGTTGGAAGAACAAGAGGTACTAACAGCCTTTTAATTTTTTAAAGACTTTTTTTAAGAGCAGTTTTAATTACACAAGAAAATTGATCGGAAGGTATAAAGATTTCCTACATGTAAGTCATGTCACAATACATATACAGCATCCCCCATTATCAGCATCCCCCACCAGAATGGTACATTTGTTGCAATGGATGAACCTCCATTGACACTCATCATATCCCAAAGCCCATAGTTGACATTAGTGTCCACTCTGTATTGTACATTACATGGGTTCAGACAAACATGAAATGACAGGTATCCATCAGTATTCACTGCCCTAAAAATCCTCCTTGCTCTGATTTTTCATTCCTCCCCTCTTCTCCCAAACCCCTGAGAACCACTGATCTTTTTAGTGTCTCCATAGTTTTGCCTTTTCCAGAATTTCACATAGTTGGAATCATACAGCATGTAGTCTTTTAAGATTGGCTTCTTTCACTTAGTAATAAGCATTCAAGGTTCCCACATATCTCTTCATATTTTGATAGCTCATCGCTTTTTTAACAATGAATAATATTCCATTGTCTGGATGTGCCACAGTTTGTCCATTTACCTACTGAAGATTATCTTGGTTGCTTCCAAGATTTTGCAAGTATGGATCAAGCTGCTATAACCATCTATGCGCAAGTGTTTTTGTGGATGTAAGTTTTCAGCTCCTCTGGGTAAATGCCATGAAAACTGCTGGATCATATGATAAGAGTATGTTTAGTTTTGTAAGAAACTATCAAACTGTTTCCCATAATGGGGCCGTACCATTTTCTATTTCCCCTTTTTTTTTCTTTTTTTTTGAGACAGAGTGTCACCCAGGCTGGAGTGCAGTGGTATGATCTTGGCTCACTGAAATCTCCATCTCCTGGGTTCAAGCAATTCTCTTGCCTTAGCCTCCCAAGAAGCTGGGACAATAGGCATGTGCCACCAGATGTGGCTAATTTTTGTATTTTCAGTAGAGACGGGGTTTTGCCATGTTGGCCAAGATGGTACCAAACTCCTGGCCTCAAGCAATCCACCCACTTCAGTCTCCCCAAGTGCTAGGATTTCAAGCGTGAGCCACCGCACTTAGCCTCATTTTGTATTCCCATCAGCAATGAATGAGCAGCATTCCTGTTGCTTCACATCCTTGCCAGCATTTGCTGTTTTCAGTTCTGGATTGGGGCTTTTTTTTTTTTTTTTTTCCAGACAGCATTTCATTCTGTCACCCATGGTGCAATTATAACCTCCTAAGCCCAAGTGATATTTCACCTAAGGCCCCCAAGTAGCTATGTGACTACAGGTGCATACAACCATGTTGGCTAATTTTGTCAACTTTTTATAGAGATGGGATCTTATTGTGTTGCCCAGGCTGTTCTCAACCTCCTGGGCTCAAGCAAGCTTTCCACCTCAGCCTTTCAAAGTGCTGGGATTACAGGCATGAGCCACCACATATCCACACATAGCCTGGATTTTGGCCATTCTAATAGGTGGGTAGTGGTATGTTATTGTTGTTTTAATTTGCATTTCCCTGATGACATATGATGTGGAACATCTTTTCATATGCTTATTTGCCAGCCGTATGTCTTCTTTGACAATGTATCTATTAAGATCTCTGGCTCATTCTTTAATTCAGTTGTTTTCTTATTGTTGAATTTTAAGAGCTCTTTGTAGATTGTGGGTAACATTTCTTTACCAGACAATGTCTTTGCAACTATTTTCTCCCAGTGTGTTACTTGTCTTCTTATTCTCTTGACACATAAAAAATTCTTCTTTGTGTAATTCACAGAGAATTTTTTAATATTAATGAAGTCAAGTTTATTTATGGATTGTGGCTTTAATGTTGTGTCTAAAAAATCACCACTAGGGTGTGGTGGCACATACCTGTAATCTCACTACTCAGGAGGCTAAGGGAAGAAGATCACTTCAGCTTGGAAGTTCAGGGCCAGCCTGGGAAACATAGTAAGACCTCATCTCTATTTTTAAAATAATTGATTAGTTAATTTAAAATTAAAAGTCATCACCATACCAAAGGTCATCTAGATTTTTTTCCTATGTTATATTCTAGAAGGTATATCATTTGGTGTGTTACATTTAACCGTGGGATCCATTTTTAGTTCATTTTTGTGAAGGACATAAGGTCTATGTTTTAATTTATTTTTGCATGTGGATGTCCAGATGTTCCAGAACTGTGTGTTGAGAAGACAATCTTTGCTGCATTGCATTGCTTTTGATCATTTTTCAAAGATCAGCTGATTATATTTATGTGGATCTATTTCTGAGCTCTTCGTTCTGTTCCACTGATCTACTGTCTATTCATTTGCCAATACCATATTGTCTTGATTATAGCAGTTTTAGTAAGCCTTGCTAGTGAGTAGTGTCAATCCTCCAATTTTGTTCTTCTCCTTTAATATTGTGCTGTCTGTTCTGGGTCTTTTGCTTCTCCATATAAGCTTTAAAATTACTTTGTCAATATCCAAAAAGTAACGTGCTAATAGTTTGATTAGTGTTGCATTGATTCTATCAATTAAGTAGGGAAGAACTGACATCTTGACAATATTGAGTCTTCCTATTCATGAACATAGAATATCTCTCCTTTTTTTTAGTTCTTCATTGATTTCTTTCACTAGAGTTTTGTAGTTTTCCTCATGTAAATCATGGACGTATTTTATTTGACACATAAGTATTTCATTTGGGGAGTGGTAATGTAAGTGGTATTGTTTTGCTAGTTTCAAATTCCACTTGTTCATTGATGGTATAAAGGAAAGCAATTGACTTTTGTATGCTGACCTTGTATGCAACCTTGCTATAATCACTGATTGGTCCTAGTGTTTTCTTTTTGCTGTTGTTCTTGGTTCTTCGGGATTTTCCACATGGATGATCATGTCAGGGACAAAGAGTTTTATTTCTTTCTTCCCAAACTGTATACCTCTTATTTCCTTTTGCTGTCTTACTTATTACATTAGCCAAGACTTCCAGTATGATATTAAAGATGAGTGATGAGAGAGGATATCCCGTCTTGTTCCTGATTTCAGAAGGAAAGCTTTGAGTATCTCACCAGTAAGCATGATGTTAAATGTAGAGTTTTTGTATATATTCTTTATCAAGTTGAGGAAGGTCTGCAATATTCCTGGTTTCCTATTTTTATCATGAATGGATGTTTGATAGTATCAAAAGCTTTTTCTGCACATGTTGATACAATCGTGAATTTTTCCTTTTTATCCTGTTGATATGATTAATTACATTTATTGATTTTCTAATACTGAACCAACCTTCAATAGCTGGGATAAATTCCACTTAGTCATGGTGTATAATTCTTTTTATAAATCGTTAGATTCAACTTGCCAATATTTTATTGAGGATTTTTACATTTCATTTCATGAGAGATTGGTCTGTAATTTTCTTTTCTTGTAATGTTTTTGTCTGCATTTGGTATAAGGGTGATGCTGGTCTCATAGAATGAGTTTGGAAATATTAACTCTGCTTCTGTCCTCTGAAAGAGATCATAGAGAATAGTTATTTCTTTCTTAAATGTTTGACAGAATTAACCAGTGAACCTGTCTTGGCCTACTGCTTTCTGGTTTTGAAGATTATCAATTATTGATTCAATTTATTTAATAGAAATAAGTCTATTTGGATTGTCTGTTTCTTCTTGTGTGAGTTTTGGCAGATTGTTTCTTGCATG